CCTCTTAATATCACCAAATGATGTAATATTATAATATTATAATAGGCATAAAATGTCTATTTTATAATACTTTCCCTTTTTCTTAATAATTTTGAAACTGACATCGTTGTATCATTACTATCGGAAAATTTTTGTTTGGATTTGCAATACGAAAAACTTGTGTGCAGAATCGTACTTATTTCTAAAATTATTTAAAATTCCCTAAGTATTCTGCAATTATTTTCGATAATGTTTCTAATACTGGAGAAGGAAGTGTCTTTGAGACAAGAAAATTCGATGACCTTGATCTTGACATATGTAAAGGACATTCCCCTGAATAATCGCTAATAGATTTTATCCATTATTGATTACTGATTAGAAAGTTATTAATTATTAATAATTGAGTACTAGGATAGATATATTTTGCAATAAGGTTAATATGTCGCAGTATTTTGTTATTATTGAATACAAAATTATTTAAATTATATATCTATCTATCTATATATATATATATATATGCGCACGCGTACACACACATACGCACATAAATTATAAATCTATTCTTGAGATGATCAAATTTCTCTCAATCTCTCTCAATTTCTCTCAATTTATAGATCGAACTATCCTATCATGAATTTAATTGAAGAACGAGTTAGGTTAAATTAGAGTTTGTTACTTTAGATATTTTCTGCTTATGCGTTCATATCACATAATTACATAAATAAAAATAGATTTATCACATAATTAACAATTTCAGTAATTAGTGTTCATAATAAATTTATTTACTTTTTGTTTTCATTTAATGAATATAAATGAACCATAATTTCAGAAAATTTACCCAACATGATTTGAATAATCTGAATACTACCCAGTTGAATAATATTGACGTGTTTCACGAGTACCAAAATCAAATTTGAGTCCGTATTATGTCACAGTCTCTTTTCTTCTTTTTAATTTTTTCAGACATTCGCTTAGAGAATACCATCTTTTGTATAGTTATTATAATTATATTTTTAATAATTTTTTTAAGAAATAATGATTAAAATTATTCTAAAACTATTCGAAAGTTACGTCGGGAGATTTCCTTAACAAATATATCGAATGTCAAAGTTGCATCGGGGCTGCCTCTTCTAAAATCAATATTCGGGAACTTCAAATGGCACAGTTGAGGAGGTTCACGCTATTTTTGAAGGAAAAACTCAGCAAAACGACTGAGACCTGCTGGTTTATTAGAACTGAAGAGTCAGGTTACTCGTAGGTTATTTCAACACAGAATATCATCGGCTATGAGACATCCCTGTCAATCAAAATTCCCAGAAATATTTAAACAAAACGCGCTCCGCGCGGAATTGACAAATGATATTAACGACTCTCGACCTCAATTTTGGGGTCCCTTGAGACCCCAAAATTTCCAAAACTGATGGAAAGAAAAATGAGAGAGTCTTCCTCAATTTTCCATCGGCTCAGCATAGAAGAGAACTCGTCTGACATAAGGGAGAGACTTTAGTTTGCGTATCAGGACTGAGAGTAACATTCAAATCGAAGGGAGTCCCTTAAATAATATAAAATAATAATTTTAATACTTATTATTATGAATATAATTTATAAATGATAATTTATAAATAATTATAAATATTTAATACTATTTTCATAAGTTAAAGAAATGGCAATAAGAATTGTTAAGAGCGTCTACTTGAATAGATTTTGTTGTTTGTCAGGCAGAATGTGTATAATAAAAGTCCACAATATATTATAATTAATTTAAATTCAAATAAGTGGACCGATAGAAATTCAATTGATCGGACACTAACTAAAATTTTCGTTCCAATAAATGGAATTCGTACAAATAGCGTTCCTATACATAGTTTCAGTACCTAGATAATACAATAAATATACTAAATAAATTGAATGAACACATATATTGACGTTGTCCAATACTTTGGATTTCATATATATGTATCGTAACTGGGAATACTTAAAAGTTTATGTATAAATGTCTTTGCCACGATAAGTTAATTTCGACTCGTAAGGAATTAGTAAATAATAAGATAAATATTTTATTAATTACACATTCGAAAAGGATATTTAATGCGTTTGAAATCCCATATTCTATAAAATGTTCTATAGAAAAAAACTTTTGTATATTATTAAACATGTTCTGAAATTTACAATAGCATATTAATATTAAAAACATAATAACCTGTTGTGGACATATCAATCAGTAAAGGGACGAAAATTTATTTCTCCAGTTTGAGGGTGTAACGTCAAGATTTAAGAAACAAAAATTATCAAACAAAAAGTCGGATCAAACAAAACTGTGACACTTTGTGTATTGTTATAAAAAGAATACAGTATCAATGGTTTGATTGAAGATTTTCCATGCATGAAGTATTCTCAATACTGTTCAAATGTATTGAAAGATGTTTATTTTTGAAAAAAATGTAATTTATAGCATAATAATAATATGTATTGATATATAATGACTAAATAGTACTATTATAATATGTTTGTATTATTATTTTATTATTGTGACATAATGAAATAATTTCAAATATCTATGAGAACGATCTGAAATAAAATGATATTGAAATATAATAAAATGATCAAATAAAAATTTGGAAAAATCAGACAGGTTATGACACAACTTTTAACAATTAAAAAAAAATATTTTAATTTTAGATATATTATTTAAATATAGTATGTACATAGATTATGTAGACATATTATATCATATATTATAATTTATGTTACAATAGAATATTTTGAAAATACTATTTAAAATACAAATCAGATGAAAACTACTTATATTATAATTAACTCGAGCAACGATTATTAGAAATAATTGTTAAAGATTTTTATAAATTTTAACAAACAATATATATGTATTCATTTTTGTTAATCATATTTTATTAATATAAAAAAAGGAAAGAATTTCTTTGTTTTTATCAAATTTATTAAATTAAATAATTAAACTTCCAAATTGTGTATATTTTTACTATTTCATATATATTCTTTATAAACGTATTCAATAAATAATTTTGATTATACAATTTAGTCTTACAATTTTAATTACATAATTTTCCTTGTAAAAACATATCGAGAGATATAATTTACTTTTAATCATTGCTAGTTGATTAATTAGTAAATTAAAACTAGTTACCGACTAGTTAAATTAATTATATACATCTAAATTGTAATTTAACTTAATATAAAGTAATCATGCTTCCAAAACGCGAAGAATTGTAGTTTAATTGGTTAAAATTTTGCTAAAGTTGTTCGTTACTTAATTTCCTGTTTCGATTTACGGTAACTCAAAAGATAGTAAGATTTTCATTTAATTTTGAAATGTAACGTGAGTAAAATGTAATCGAAATCATATTATTACTCCTGTATCAATTATTCGTATCAGTTATTTTTAAGTTTTCGCAAAAATCAATCATTCCATCGGGATCGATAAAATCCTCAATCACTTCGCATCAATAATTCTGAACGACAAACTATTCCGGTACTTTGATTCTGTACAGGACGTGGAGAGAGTGAAGAGAGAAAGATGTTGAGCAATTTTTAGCGCCACTTCGATTATTCTGTCAATTTCTCTTCCATTGTTCAAATGATTTTCTTATTATATAGAAGAAACAATAACTAAAAACACAGTAATTAATGGAGCTTTTATGTCTGCTGAATAAAGTTTATAATTGATTTTAATTATCACAATAGAGCCTTCCATGTCCAAACTAATAGGGAGACAAAAGTGTTCGATTAATGGAATTTTCATATAATGGAACAACCACTTTTATGATACTAAATTGCATTTGAATGGAGATCAAGAACATTTCACTCAATCTATTTCGATAATTAAGAACATTATGTTTTCCTTTTTATTATTGAATTTTTTAACCATCTTTAGCTTATTTTTATATATACGTTATATATTCTTTTGTATATTGTTTTTGTGCTTCGAATCAGCTTTTCTAAATACTTTGAATGTATAAGAAGATACATACTCGTCAGATACATTTTTATTTTAGTCTCAGTTTGGAAAAATTAT